GAGTCGTGACCTAGATCCTCCGGATATGGCCCAAGCTCCGTCAGAAACCTCTCCGGGTCCATCAGGCGCCTGGGACGGAACCATCTAGGCGGTTCCGTCTCCCTGCGGCGGGGGGAAGCGGTCCGGAAGTCCATCCTAAGGAGAGCATGATCTGACCATGACAAGGGCTCTATATTTATCTCCCCCATTTCCAGATCATAGCATTTAATTATACAGTTTAATCATACTGCTTATGGTGATAACCAAAGGAGCAATACATTTCAAATGTCTCATTGTTCTATGACCTTCTGCTCCAAAATAAATAACCACCTACCTATGGACATAGTCAAGTAGCAAATATTTTGTATAAGACAGACACAACTGCTGCTTTCAGGTCAATCCTTTGTTTCCTTTTTTTATCCTTAAAAATGCTTCATATCCCAAAAGCTGATCCAAGATAAGTTAATACTACAGTAATAATTTGGAACAGTATTCATCTTTTTAAGTGTCTTGGGAGTATTTCCTAATCTTTAAGTTCCTTATTACTGGCTGCTTTTTGGAATGATCTCCCCCCCCCAGATGTACCCCTGTTAGGAAGACGCTTAACACCTGGATCTTCCACCAAGCTTTGTGACTGGGTTGAGGCGAATACCCCTGAGTAGGTTGTTGACATTTTCAGTGTTCAATATTTAAGGTTTAATATGTTTTCAGGTGCTATGATATTTTGCATTTTTTTAAAATTGGGGGTGAGGTATCTTTTGTACACTACCTAGCATCAGAGAGTTTGAATGGAACAGCCATATAAGCACTTAAATAAATATTAAAACTAGTCTTAGACATATAAATGAAAATATCAGTAAAATCTATGGCACCATTTTCATATAGTTTAGTATAAAAGATGTTTGTCAGCTGACCTATGTAGGCTAAGCATTCATCAATGATAAATAATCTAATAGAAGAAAAATATTAAGACTACCTTCCTTTCTTTTGATGTTATGAGGAATTTTACAGTGTCCACCATGGCTAACGACCCATACGGGATACTGCTGATTCAGGTTAAAATATAAAGCCTCAATGAATGTCCGGTAAAAGCCAACCAATCCTGGATTACCTAAAAGAGACAAAAGTATACTAAAAATATAGGCCACAAATAAAACACAATCCATTGAAAAGATTGAAACATTAAGATCCATCTTTTATCTTGTGCAAATTATATTTATCAAATATTTTTCACTGTATGGATCATTTATACATCATATTTGAACTCGGAATGAAAACAGATATTAAACTGTATGGCATTTCTCATTTTTTGTCTAAAAATAATTTTGCAACTCAGCAGGCAACTTTCACCTTACCAAAGAAAGAGCCAGCATATTCATACTCCACTCAGTATCAAGGATGCAGCTGTAGAGGTGGTCAACAGTATTAAGTATCTGGTGGTACAGATAACTAACAATCTGAATTGGTCTCTCCACACATCATCCTTAGTGAAGCGTGCAAACCAGTGTCTGCATTTCCTACGTCAGATGAGGAGACCACATCTTTTTCCTTCTGTCCTGGCCACTTTTTACAGAGGCACAATTGAGAGCATTTTAACAAACTGCATCACTGTCTGGTTTGGTGGCAGCAGTGCCTCAGCTAGAAAATCCATATAGAGATTGGTAAGGACAGCCGAGAAGATCATAGGAAGCTCACTCCCTGGTATTCAGGGCCCTGCTTATAAGCGCTATGTGCTTAGAGATCAAAGCGTCGTTAGAGACCCCACGCACCCACTTCACGGTCTGTTTCTATTGCTCCCCTCTGGGAGGAGGTTTTGAAGTATGTCTAGCAGGACTACCCAATTCTGTAATAGCTTTGTTCCCTATGCCATCTGTCTGGTAAACTCGCAAGATTTGCCATTCACATGTATACATAACCCGAACTAGACTGCTGTTTTTCTGTGTCATATAATATATGTGGGTATATGCATAATTCTGTATTTATTTATTTTTGTCATATTTATGTAGTGTATATCTGAGGTGGTGACTCTTTGAGAGCTGAATGCAACAAAATTTCATTTTAATGTATGCCAATTAGTGTACATTCAAAGTGACAATAAAGATTCTATTCTATTCTATTCTATTCTATTCTATTCTATTCTATTCTATTCTATTCTATTCTAAAGATTTAACCCACATGGATGAGTTTTCAGGGGAAAAAAGTAGAACTTAATTCCTCCATTGCATTGCTTTGCGATAGAAATTTATCCAGCAATGTAGTCTTCAAATATAGTATAGTATCCACATTTTTCAAGTTCATGGAATGTTTAGTTCCTGTTCCTCCCAAATTAGAGCAGTAACTTATTTGGGGGGTTTTGGCACTGTAAAACTATTCATTAATCAAAATGTGTTTAAAAAAAATATTATTTTTGTAATTCACATAATGTGCATGCATTTTCCCATAATATGAAAGAGAAGAAATTATTTAAAAGACCTGAATTATAGTAAATGCTCTTTGAATAACATGTTTTACATTCTTGTCTTTTTTTTAAAAAAATAATTTTCTTTGGAAGAGTCACCAAATGTAAAAGAGAGATTTTATACTGTAACTTCTTCACAGATTTTTCATTCTTTCCCATTCATTCCACTGGGGAGTGTGGAATATTTGTCTCATTCCCATCATCAGATGAACAGTGAAAGTAAGATTTATACAACTTTTGTTAAACTTTGTAGCCAATCACTCAGTGTAGATTTTAATACCTGTGATTAATCTTTTTTTTTTCCTGACAGGGAAGATCTCTACCTTCTGATAAATTATGTGACTACCTGAGGTTTGTTTTTTTAGAAAGGAAATAGAAAAGATTGCAGACAAAATAAGGCAAGTGTAAGGGGAGGAAAAGAGCAACTACAAAAGATAATCATATATATCACTTATTACAATAGCTACTGACACTGAATAATACTTTGAAGGGGTAGAAACAAGAGCCACAAATGTGAATACACTTTTTAATGTATGCTGTCAAAAAAGAGCACTTAGAACCTTACAATGCTTATTAAATTATCAGTCTTTGTTCTTTTAAGCAAGACAAACACTTTTCCAGTGTTTCTGCCACAAAATGTGAATCGTCCTTGGTCTTTGGTAGCATGCTGAACAAATGAACCCATCACAAAGTCTGGTTCAGCAAGATTAAAATCCAAGGATACACTCAAAGCTCTGTGAACAGTGGGAATTCTCACTATTTCATAATCCCATCCAAAAATCTGATAGAGCAGGAGGAAGTATTTTGGCCCTGTGTAAATCTTTTAAAAATAGAACCTTGGCAACCAATTGTTATTTGCATTCAAAATATGTTATTCATCCATCGATTTCAATGAAGACCTTGACATCTTATGGATTATGGGCCATCAGCGGTGTGTCCGTAGATGGCTGATGAGACCGATGTTAGCACGGAATGTTCTGCCACATACTGAACAGAGAAATGTGGACACTATTACTTCAGCATTTGCAGCTCTGGCTTTACGGAGTGCTCGCTTCTCTTGTGCCAAGATTGTCCTTCTGTGTTCATATGTCTGGCAACCACAATCTCAGCATTCTTTATAATCACCCAATTAAAAAAAGAGAGAGATAAGAACAATGCACCTTACATTCTTCTCTCTCATATAAACATATTAATTTATCTTCCATCTTTAGGAATAGTAAGCGCCCAAGCTAACCTATAGGACACACAATGTAGGAGAACAGGTAGAGAGGCTGCCCCAAAATGCTCCATACAACATTCTTGTTCTACCTACTCCATTGAACTCTGAGAAAAATCACTGCATGGATCCTTTCATTAGTTTGACTTAATGTAGAATATGTAGAGACTTCTGAACTTTTCTCATTATTGTTTTAGCATTGTGTATTGTTCGGGATAATGAAATAATTCCACATCCAGATGCAATGGTTTGAAGAGCAGACCACTAAATCAATTTTGGAAGCGGCAGTCTTCAGTCTTTTGTCACTGGGATTACTGTTGAGAAAAATCTAATCATGGGAAACAACCAATGACCCAGAAACTAGTTTCAGACACATCAAATGCTCTTTGACTGTGAAGAAGTATATCATATACATGGCAACTTAAATATCTGGAAGAATGCAGTGAGACCAGCTCTTTGGAACCTCCAACATTATTGAAAAATCAAGTTCTCCATTCCAAAAAGTAGTAAAAAAAACCCCTTGTACTTATCTTTAAAACAGCACCATCTTCTGGCATACTTCTTTCTACATTATAGTCAGAAAGCACAATTGTCTTAGGCATTATTAAATTTTATTTGGTTTGTAATAAATGCCTATTTAGCAGTTCCTAACAGTCTGACATAATGTAGAATAGGCTACATTATCTGCAAAACAAGAACTGCTTTGAACAAGTATATCTGATCCCAACATTGAGATTCCCACTGCAATCGTTACACAAAATAAGGCAAATCAGTACTGCAAAAGCTTTAAGCTCCTAGCCACTTCACTGTATTTTTGATTTCTTCATAAGTCATTGACTATAAAATGATACTGTGATATGATAGAAGAGAATACTTATAGCTCAGGGTTAAACTGTGGGGTGCTTGGTGCTTTTTGAGCTTGGTTGTTTTCTTGCAGACATTTCATTACCAAACTTGGCAACATCATCAGCACTCTACTTCCATCATTTCTAAGATCAAATGCTTCAAATTTCATTTAAGTGAAGTGTGACAACACAGCAAACCAAAATGCAAAAGAGAGCTTTAGAACTCCTTGTTGTTATGCTAAAGGAAAACATGAGAATATGCAAGCTTAGGAAATGCTAGTCTTCTTCTCATCACATCTAAATAAAGCCAATTAACACACATATATAGGAGAAAGGACCAGACACCTTTCCTTTGAAATGTCAAATAGAACACCCAAAACTCCCAAGTGCAAATGTGATTGTTTAAAGATCATACAACTCTTTCCAGAACAGCATCTCCAGCTGAGCACAACTCAGCTTCCATTTCCAAAAGTGACATTTTAGTTTGGTACGTATTGTAGCCATGTATTACTGTAATCCAGAGAAATTAGGGAGGGAAGGGTGCCATGTAGAATGTGGCTGCAATTTGTACATGCAGTGCCCATCATTACAATATATCTGGATATTTTTTCTTTTATGCATACTTTGTTGCATGCAACCTAAGAGACTTAATAAACTTAACTTGATAATTTCACATGATTTCTCACAAATCTTCCCACGTTCTAAAGTACAAGTTTTGGAAACTTGCCCTATAACAAGTTAGAATGAGGTAGATGGGAAATGTCATAGGAAAATGTTTTTAAAATGTTTTGTTATATCAATAAGGGGAATAGAGTATTGTAGTATTTGATTGTGCTTAATTGTGCCTAAAATCCATGTAACCTGTGTGCCAATTCTAAAGAGACAACCTTTTACAAGAAGTGCCAACTGAAAGTCACAGATGGTGTAAGATATTACCGCC